ATATATATATATAAATGTTGCTGATGTTACTGTTGTGTACAGTATAGAGTTATGATGCACATTTATGCCCACTCGTCCTTAGCCTAAGGTGGTGAAGAAGGGCCCCACATGGTCCATTAATGATTTTGACCTGAACAAGTGTTTAGTGTTTAAAGGTTGATTCAATGGTGGTTGTGACCTCCAAAAAAAACGTATAGATTGAGATCTTGTAAGGAAAACTAATAACATGCAAACCCAATGTAAAACAAACAAAAAAAAAACCTTAAAATAAAAAAGCTTGCTAACTGATCACAAACCACTGATTTACCTCCTTTACTTACTGGTCTGTTATTGACTTTGTAAAATTTACTCATGAGGTTTTCAATGATAGAGACCAGTAAAAATAAACACAAAATCAAACATCAGTTTTATTTTCCAAATATACAGAGCAAAAGCGTCATAGATTCACAGACCAGTACAGTTAAAATACAACCATTTTTTTCTTTTTTTTTCTTAGATACAGATGGCAAAGGCCTGAAAATGGTGGTCAACCGAAAATCATTTACACATAGTCTTTTTAATTACAGTTATTGTATGTTTAGGTTGCTATTTTTTACACTTCTGGAAATGACCATTTAAAGTAAGAACATCCTCAGACTTGTGTCATGTAATATTTGAAACTCGTTTGCATCATTTGGAGCACAGAACAACTCAATCACAGAGAACTGTACTTGTTTGACTTTACAAAAGCTTTTTGACTATGCTTCCATTCTCCTTGTGTGATTTAACGTACACTGCACACCCAACTGATTACCAATGTGCCTTGAAGGCAAAACCAAAATCTGAGGATTAGTGACAAATTCTTTTCTAGTCCAGGCTTTACACGTGTATGTTATTACAGTACAAACAAGGTATTGATTGGTAAGAAAGAAAGGAAAGGTGGAGAGAGTAAGACAGAAAGCATTTACACAGTTAAGCAAGGCTTATTATGATCAATTCAGTGTTTCATGTGGCATCTGCTTCTAATGTGTTCCATCATGGACATTAACACCTATCTTAAACAAAGGCAGACCTTAAAGAGCATCACGACTCACTCTTCACAATAAATGGATGTATACTGACTATGCTGTTGTTCAGAATATGTTTGTGTGTTTTTGACCCATTTCAGACAAAAGAAAATATTGTAATCAGAATATGGTTACTAAAATGGAAATTTGTGAAATTTTCCAAACAGTAATCATCATATAATGTTTACATTTTGTTTTTCAGCCTTAGAAAGGTTTTTGTACTGTGTTTGCCATGCCTTTTTCTTAGCATCCTTGCATGATGAATCCTACTTCTGCTCTGAAGAGGTTGCTCTGTTTTATCGTGGAAGGGCAGCAACCCCTTGTAATTGTTCTGAGTCTCTGTGTTTAATCATCTGTTGTGTACTGGCATCTGTGCAGAGCTCGTAGCCAGGCAAACAGGCATCCACAGGTGAGCAGGGCACACTTTGTCCCCTACACGAGCTTTGATTCTCAAGGACCGACATGGCACTTGCGTCCTGTCGTGCTCTCGCAATGTAGCCCATTGCCTTCGGGGAGGGGAGGGCTGGTTAACAGGACAGAAGGTTGGCTTATTAAATATTTATCTGTTTTCTGGGCAGTGTGCAGAGACTTTGGACCTGGAAAATGCATTATGTCTGGATCAGTGCAGAAGCTGCACTCGATAGAAAAAAAAGGAAACCTTTTGGACAGAACAGCAAAACTCTTTGTTTTTGTCAAGACAGACTTGCTAAAAGTTTAGTCCAATTTCGCACGCTGGTGAAAAAAAAATAGTTGACTGCAGTTGAACGCTTCTAACACAAAGAAAAAGAAATAATTTTGCACTCATAAATTTTGAGAAAAACACAATAAAAATGCCACAGACGTACTTGACAGTCATCYCTGCGCCAAATCCAATATATTGCTGAGCATCTAGGCATCTCTCCGAGGGACTGACAGTATAATAACCTCTTACTGCATCTCACTTCAGAGTTGTCCCAGCTAAGCTTGTTCTCTAGCCCCGTGTGTGCTCAGAGTACAGAGCGTCAGTTTTCTCCCATGAGATCTCGGCGAAGAGTACACAGCTCGTGCGAGCCGCTCATGTAATTTGGGAGACACAAGCAAGGTTGATGAAATTTTTGGAAGGGGAACAGAGAGAAAATTATCGCCTTGTCGGTGCAGTTTTGATGCCATATGTTTGTTGAGCTCTCATATCCTGCTGCAAAATCTGAATGAAAAGAAAGCAGGGGGGAAAGAGACTGGAAAAGAAAACTATATATACAGAGAGAATGACAGCATTAGAGATTTATATACAGTCTGCTAAGTGCCAAGCTGGATTATCAGCATTGAAACAGAGCTTTTTGTCTTAAGCTGTACAATGGGCGCCAATCCATTTGTAAAATTAGTTCAAATACACTGCAGCTCAAGTGGAAAACCCCATTTAAATGTCTTGAATATAATCGTAGGTAAAGTGCTTACAACAACAACTTGCTTTTGTTCAAATACAATTCATGATGTTTCATGAACTGTTAAAGCAGTTTTCTTAGATTCCAGTTTTCGCAGAATCCCTGTTCACTGAGTTCCACGTTGCAAACTGAAAAAAAAGCTACMTCATTAAATAAAATGTTTTTCATCATCAATCCATTATGTTTACCAGCTTCTGTCTTCACGAATCACTGGTGCCCATAACCAGCAGTCACTGTGCAAGAGGCAGGATGCACCCTGAACAGGTCTAATTCCACAGGGACACATCGAGACAACCATTCACARTTAGTGATAATCTTGAGTTGCCAATATTTCAAAGGAAGAAATATAAAGATATTAGAGGTTAGTACTGATGTTAAAAGCACAACACTATATTCTTAGGTTTTCCTTTTTGTAATGTTGACAGTGTTTAATCTATTTTGGTTTGACTGATAATAGATTAGTTACATGTCCGAAATATCTGTGACAACACATAATTAAACATTGTGATGACATTAGCTGAGGATTTTGTCTGAATGCCTGTGATTCAGCCGTAGGTCAGTAGGGGGCGAACACAGGCATTGAAGAACCTGTATAAATAGATGAACTTCCTGGTTTTTCGGGAGTGTTGGTTTCCTGTCAGCTTGAGTGACAATAAGCCTCACTCAGATCCAGAATTCTGGTGTTGTATGGTTTGATTCCTTCTACAAATCATTTTATTTAACAATGGTGTTTTTAATATCGTTTTCAGTTTATTGAATATGAATTTTCTTACACTAACGTGAATGTTTTTGGTCTATGGGAGGAAACTGGAGTACTTGGAGAAAACCTATGCATATTTCTTTTTGTTTGATTTGACAAAATAAAATAAAATAAAATAAA